TATTTTAGTTTCACCTGGTTTAATGTCATTAATAATCTTCGTTAAAGAAACTTTGGGTATCCAATTAATCGATTCATCCAAAAAATTAACGACAGACTAATCAATTTGCAAAATAATTGTTAGTTGCTGCCCTAATTTTATCGTAACATTGCAAACGCATTTCTTACTAAATACATGTGGAGATAACAGGCAACCAAACAAACATGTTAATCAGGCAAACTATATTAAAATCCATGTGGCATCATTTGTGAGCTCCAAAAGAGACCACAGAATCCAATTACTCCTACTGAAAAAAAACAAGACAAAAAAATCCTCACCTAAAGCCCTGAAGGTTCAGACACTGTTCTCTCTAGCTGTGCTGCAACATCACTGCTCATTGTTTGAGTCCCCTAAATCCAGCCATTTCAAATACAAATTTATATTTTTATTGTTTATACATAAAAAAGTTGCTCCTTATTTTGTAATTAAAATCATTTAGACTTCACCTGAAGCACTGAAGGGCCAGCTGCTTCACCTACAAGCTGCCCTGCATTATTATAACTGGATTCCGTCTTTCCTATAATCATATAACATTACATTTAATGATTATAACTGTGTTTTTAATATAAAAGGATTAAATGAAACACAACCTTCTATATCATCCCATGTAACTTACTGTCTGACTGTTAAAATAGCTCCTTATGTCTATTTTCTTTTTTAGTGGCATCATCTACAAAGTATAACACTAAGAATGTGCCTTTAAGTTCATTCAAATATAAAATCCCATTTAACGATTATAAAAGACAATATAACACTATCTTATCTGTAATGTAATAATATCCTAAATAAACAGCCAGAATCAAGCATTATTTACCAGACATTAATGTTTGTACTAATTTACTTGTAGACTGTGTAGAAATCTTTGTAAGATTAAATCAATGTTAATGGTGTCCCTCTGTTTGTTCTTGTCTTTATCGTATTTCTAGAAGTAGAAATTGTCAATTAAATATAAGTATTATTATGTGGAACCCTAATTGTGCTTCTTAAACAAAAAATAGCAGATGTTTAGGCGCCATCTCTTATTGTTATACTCTATAAAAGAAATAACACCTGCTAATGATTATACCTGAACTTTCTCAAAGAGTCATCAAAAAATTAAACAGTAACAGCAACGAAATATCAGG